CGAAGTTTTCCGACAAAAATACATTTCTGCGACTCTGCTCGATACATTCCTTAGTGTGGTTCATTTTTGCTTGGTTTTCCTTTCATTTGTTCAATCCTGTTTTACCTCATCAGAGATACTTCGACTCCTTCACACTTGTTATGAACAGTAAAATTCTGAACTCTTTCAATTGTCTAATTTTGGATCATCACAATTCATATTTGACTAGACTGGCTTAATTTCTCCTACTTCATGAACCACCGTAAACCATATTGGTAGAATCAGCCGGTGTCAATGATCAAGTAAGGCCTTAGAGCATGATTTACTTCCATCCAATGCAAAAGGTTTGGGGTGGCAGCGGACCGGGGGAAAAACGGAAATTCATTCAAACTTGTTTTATTTTAACAAAGGATGGACTAGATACCCGTATAAAAATGGAGACAATTATGGATTGAAACTTATTCTCCGCCCTGCCCCACCCCGTTAAATCCGTTAGCTTTATATATATTGTTATATTTTAAAATAAAACCACATTTGAAAGTTGTATATACATATTGAAGGGGTTAGCCCTTATTATTACACCTGTAATGACATTAAATGAAACCCACGTAAGGTTGATAAAATAGGTCACGTGAAGGAGAAATTATTCACACAGCCGTATAAACCAAGCCGTGTTGATCGATAGGTTCGGCAAAGAAAGAAGGAGTTTGATTCTCTTTATGATCGAACTCATCAATCTGTTCAGTTAAGCGAAGAAGGAGCTCAGCTTGTACCAGGCCGAATTCATTAAAGTGTTCGAGAAGGCAATTTAAGAGAATGGTTTGTGCCAAACCAAGTCCCCAAAATTGTTCAGCAAATATCAAATGTGCTCGGTGTTCGATATGTCCGAGCTGTTCAAAACGACAGATGGAAAGATAAAGATTTGCCTATAACTTAGACAATTGAATAAACGAATCAACAAAATTGTAGATATCATGAGGAATTGTTGGAGAAATATCAGCATCTTCTCAAACTGAATCACTAAATTGAAGGAAAATGTGCCACCTTGAATCAAAAATCATGGAAACCCTAAAGGGATGACCACCTATAAAAAACAGAAGAATTCAAGGTGAAAGGTACGCTGAACTCTCCTGGTCTTTTTGCAATTATCTAAGTTCCATTGCTGACTTAAGCATCGGAATACTTTTGATCTTGAACAGTTTGTTCGTTTTGCAGGAAGCAAAAACTGGGAGATCAAGTTCAGAAATATTCATTATCAGAAATGTCAAATTCAAATCTTTAATGAGAGATATCATCAATTTTCACCTCTTATACATATATAGGAGTAAAAGGATGAATTTAAAAAAAAAGAGAAAATAACNCTGCTCGATACATTCCTTAGTGTGGTTCATTTTTGCTTGGTTTTCCTTTCATTTGTTCAATCCTGTTTTACCTCATCAGAGATACTTCGACTCCTTCACACTTGTTATGAACAGTAAAATTCTGAACTCTTTCAATTGTCTAATTTTGGATCATCACAATTCATATTTGACTAGACTGGCTTAATTTCTCCTACTTCATGAACCACCGTAAACCATATTGGTAGAATCAGCCGGTGTCAATGATCAAGTAAGGCCTTAGAGCATGATTTACTTCCATCCAATGCAAAAGGTTTGGGGTGGCAGCGGACCGGGGGAAAAACGGAAATTCATTCAAACTTGTTTTATTTTAACAAAGGATGGACTAGATACCCGTATAAAAATGGAGACAATTATGGATTGAAACTTATTCTCCGCCCTGCCCCACCCCGTTAAATCCGTTAGCTTTATATATATTGTTATATTTTAAAATAAAACCACATTTGAAAGTTGTATATACATATTGAAGGGGTTAGCCCTTATTATTACACCTGTAATGACATTAAATGAAACCCACGTAAGGTTGATAAAATAGGTCACGTGAAGGAGAAATTATTCACACAGCCGTATAAACCAAGCCGTGTTGATCGATAGGTTCGGCAAAGAAAGAAGGAGTTTGATTCTCTTTATGATCGAACTCATCAATCTGTTCAGTTAAGCGAAGAAGGAGCTCAGCTTGTACCAGGCCGAATTCATTAAAGTGTTCGAGAAGGCAATTTAAGAGAATGGTTTGTGCCAAACCAAGTCCCCAAAATTGTTCAGCAAATATCAAATGTGCTCGGTGTTCGATATGTCCGAGCTGTTCAAAACGACAGATGGAAAGATAAAGATTTGCCTATAACTTAGACAATTGAATAAACGAATCAACAAAATTGTAGATATCATGAGGAATTGTTGGAGAAATATCAGCATCTTCTCAAACTGAATCACTAAATTGAAGGAAAATGTGCCACCTTGAATCAAAAATCATGGAAACCCTAAAGGGATGACCACCTATAAAAAACAGAAGAATTCAAGGTGAAAGGTACGCTGAACTCTCCTGGTCTTTTTGCAATTATCTAAGTTCCATTGCTGACTTAAGCATCGGAATACTTTTGATCTTGAACAGTTTGTTCGTTTTGCAGGAAGCAAAAACTGGGAGATCAAGTTCAGAAATATTCATTATCAGAAATGTCAAATTCAAATCTTTAATGAGAGATATCATCAATTTTCACCTCTTATACATATATAGGAGTAAAAGGATGAATTTAAAAAAAAAGAGAAAATAACTTGGGCAAAAGTGCAAAATTCAAGATCTAAAATACTAGATCTATTTTTTTTTTTTGGTTAGAATGTTTGTTTTCCATTTCTCTCTCTCTCACATACACACAAAGTCGACGAAAGACAAAGAGCCCAACAACCCCTCCTCCGTCTCTTTCTTGGGCAAGGACAACAACTCCTTTCTCTCTCTCGTTCTCTTAGTTGATGATGAACAACACCTAGATTAAAGTTCAGATTTGAGATCTCAAATATTTGATTGATGCTCTCACGTGCATTTAAATAGTAATTATCCCTTTCTCTCTTTCTATGTGTGTGTGTGTGGTGGTGAATAGTTGATAAATTTTTAATTTTTTAGAGATGATTGAGTTGATAATTTTTCATTGGGATTAGATTTTTCATAGAATTTTTTTTTTTTAACTATAGAAATTAATTGTTATGGGCAGGGCGGAGGCGGAAATTAAAACTAACCCCCGTTAATGGGAGAGAGAGGGTGAACAAGTAATGGATGAACCTTTTTCAAGTGGATACGAGGGTGAAAATTATTCACCCCCACTTTTCGTCGATTCACTACCATTCTTACAAAAGGTAAATAACCACTAAAAAGGAAAGAAAGAGAGAGACTCAATCTCACACTTACGTGTTTGGGTCCCCTCATAAATAAAGTAGAAATCAAAGGTTAAAATCTCTCATAGAAAATTCATTCTCAAATAAATCCAAGTTTTTGTCTCAAAAAACCATAGAGTCCTAACATATTTTTATTAGGACAATGAAGTCCTACTTTTAATAATAATTCTCATATAGTTCTAAATATATTATATTCTTTCTTTGCCCTTTACCATTAAATCACCAAAATGGCATTTAAGTTTGGAATACTTTTTGTTCTACATTTAGAATATCAACAAATCAAATTAATTGACCCCATTTAAAAACTCTAGTCCAAATTTGATTTGAATATTCAATGGAATTCATGTTCAGAATCTGTATCCCAGTTCCTTAGAAATTAAAATTTGATTTCATCCTTACAATTAAATTTTAGATAAATTTATTAAATTACATTAAAATTTTAACTCAATTTCATACTATATGTATATATTTATATATATAATTTTTATTAAATTGTACTTGGATTAGATATAAATATATTTAAATATGAATCTATGACATAAGGTATAACAAATTTGATAAAATAAGAATTAAATAATTAGCAAAAAATATTAATCTATATGTGACCAATTCTATTCAATTTCTGGCGAATTTGAATCAAGATTGGTTATCTAAATGAATACAAAGAATTTTAGGTATTTAAATATTTATAAAAACTTATTTTTAATTGAACTAAAATTGGGTACCTAAAATAAAAGGTAAATATGCAATTTGTGGTATCATATAAAGGATAAAATTGAAAGAAAACATGTTATTAATTACTTTTAAGACTTAAAATAATTTTTTAAAAATAGGTCTTAAATGTTGTAATATATAATAAGACTTAATAATTTTTTATATGAAAATTGTAAAATTTACTGGTACTTTTTCCAATAAAATATGAGAAAAAAAAGTCAGATATTTTTTTACATATAATAACAATTAAATGAGCTTGTCACATTAAAATTGAGTTCCTATTGTTTGATATTAAATATGTGTTGAAAATTGCCAAAGGATGAGGATTTAAAAAAAAATACAAACCGATAAATTATATAGAGTTAATTATACTAGAGGTCTCAAAATTATGAGGTTTGCAGTCCTGAAATATTGAATATATTTTTATATGGTTTCTTAAACAGACAGTATTCAAATTACTAACAATTTTTAATTATAAGCTTGACACATAATTTTTAAATATGAACAAAAAATTTTTTAAAAATTCTTGACCAAATTTATATCTAAATTTTGGTCAAAGAGCTACCAAAATAATATAGTTTTGATCACGAGATATCCAAAGTTTGATTAAGAGCTATCTATATTATACATCTACCAAAATTTTGATCAAGAGTTTCTCAAATTATTTTTTACTCATATTTAGATATCGTATGACAACTTTAGTAATTTGGATGTTATAAGCTTGAAAGACCACATAGAAACATATTCAATATTTTCAAGGACTAAAGTGATGTAAATTAAAATATTAAAGATTAAAATGAAATAAACTCTATACTTCGAGGACTCTGATGTAATTATGCGAATTATACGAAGGTTTCGCTAGTGGCGCCAGTATTGTTGGCAAATGGTCTGTCAACACCGTCTCCCCTAAATCCTCTTAATCGCTTCAAAATTTCCCGCCTTCTTAAATGTGAAAGTCACTTTCTCTCAGCTACAACAGCAGTAATCACAACTCCAACATCGCAAAACCCAAGCCGTTGCCTGAAAATGTCTACCTGGCAGGTGTTCTCCGACGAAAGAAGCACCTTCCGTTGGGAGATCTCTGACGAACAGCTCCCAATCAATCCCGACGATGAACCAAACAGTGCCCTAGGTCGAAAACCTAACGAATCTCATCGTCTTCCTTCCATGGCCGATCTCTTGCTTCAAGGTATACCTTCAAAGCTAACGGATAATTGGAGTGTCAATGTGGAGAGTCCTCCGATGTTTAGAACGGGAATTGGTAAACCGGTCATGGTGAAGAATTCTTCGGTATCTAAAGCATTATCTATTCTCGGTGACGAAGACGGTGCGATTAGGGGCACAGGTTCAATGTTTACTCCATTAGGTCTACTTTTATTTATTTACTCGTGTTCAGCTACAGAGATAATTTGCGGAACTGCAAGCTGTGGGTTTAGATACATTAGAAATTCTGCAACATGATGCATATACCTGTATGTAATTTGGCGATGTTGTAGATGGATTGATTTACCAGTGTTTGTCTTTTTAGTAATTTTGCTAGACCATTTCACTTTATATGGCATAAAATTCACTCTTAATGCGTTTGGCATCAAATGACCAGGGCTCTAGAATTGCATTGAAGTGCATGCAGTGTTTTCACACCATGGAATTCAGATACTATATTTGGAAGCCAGAAAAATAATAGTAGAATTTCAAATTAACCACCACTGAATTCCTTTTCCAAGTCCTGAATTTTATGCTCTCAAATTTAGCTAAAAACATGGTTAAAAATAGTAACTATTTTTATACTGCAATTCCAATTCTCATTCCAACTCCAATGCCCAATTTTATGCCATCACAGTCTGCATTTGATCCTTGTGACATAAAGGACACAAACGAGCGGGCTAAATTCTAGAATCTGATAGAAGAAAGTAGTTCCTTACTGAATTTTCCTGATGTTGTGATATTGTACAGTTCATTTTGAAATACAGTGTGGTATGCAGGCCAATTGGATGGCAGAGAGAATGGGTTTACTTTCTCGAAGTCCATGTTCCAGAATGGCAGTGGTGATGTTGAGAGCCCTCAGATGTTCCAAACTGCATCAGGAAAATCAGTTGTGGTGAAGCAGTCTTCGATGTCAAAAGCATTATCCATTCTGGATGAAGGGGATGATGTGGTGACTAACACAGGTTTTATTGTCCATTATGCCTTATTTTATTTATTTTCGAGTATTTAGGTGCAGAAAATAATGTGCTGGAACCCTCTGACTTCAGTTCCCACCTGTGAGTTCTGCCTATGGATGCACGGGACTAATTATGAACAGTCTGGGGATAGTGTCATTCTGGAATTAACTTTGATGAGCTTTATTTTTGGATATCAGTTGCATAAAATAGTGCCACTGAAAATGGACTAGTGAAAATTAGGTAGAATGACCAAAACAAAAAAAAAAACTAGGTAGAAGTTTGAATGTTTCTTTTTCTATTCCAATTCCAAGGAAGGAATTTTATGCTAACACTTGCAGCATTACTTAACATGTTAAACCACTTCTAATCCAATTCCATTCCAACTTCAATTTCATGCCACGAAAGAGACCATTGTGACTTGATAGAATCAGAACAATAACCACTCACATTTTAGAATAGGGGAGAAACAAATAGTTCTGTGTTGAATTGTGTTATGTTATGATGTTATAGAGATATATTCTTAACTTTAGCATGTTGTGCAGATCAATGGGACAGAAAACAGAGGGGCTCCGGTTTCTCAAGTTCCATGTTCCAGATAGGTGTTGGGAAAACTATTATTTCAAGTTCCATGTTCCAGACAGGCTCAGGGAAAAGGGTTGACATATCTTCAGCAGGGCTCCTCAGAGCCAAGACAATGTTGGGGCTGGAGAAAAATAACAAACATGATGCTTTGCAAAGCTGTGAACAGACAAGGAAGCAGTCCAATGCCTATGAACCCTTTGCTTGGAAGAGTTCATGTCATATGGAGATGGTAGAAGGCATGACTAATACAGAGTTTAAGGATGATACATTAGTTCCCATCTCCCCGTTCAACATGAAGTCTAATTCAGGGGGAAGTAAATCAGAGGAGGTCACTCCAGATTTTTTGCACTCTGCTCCTAAACAATCTTCCATTAAGTTTCATACTGCAGGTGGAAGATCTATATCAGTTTCTAGTGATGCATTGCACCGTGCAAGGAGCCTTCTTGGAGACCCAGATTTAGGAGGTATTTTGAATGAAGGGAATGCAGATGATCTAGCCCCTTCAATTTTTGGAGATGGAAAATTCAATGATATTTCAGCAAACAAAGAAAATGACCCAAATACTCCTTTTTCTCATCGAGGGACAGAAAAGAGCACAAATGTTTCCAAGAATTTTATCTGCCCAATACGATCGACTTCATACCCAAAGCAGTCATCGGCCAGGTTAGAGAATATAGTTTCAGGGAGCAATTTGATAAAGAAATTTGATGCAGAGGCATGTGACAGCAATAGTGAGCCATATAATGGATTACCTTGTCATGGAAAGCCTTTACACAATGGTCCCCAAGCATTACGAGGAGATTCTTTGCTAAATGTTAGTGGTTCAGCAACTAGTTCACCAGGAAGATCATCAGGTGGGCCGCTGGCTGATATCTCAAATAGCATTGGCATGGATTATACAGAAAGCAGACAGAATATTGGTGAAAAGAGGATGGTTGGAAGGAGGAGTTCCGTATCTCCATTCAAGAAGCCTCGCAGTTCTAGATTTATCACTCCTTTGAATAGCAACATTTCATCATTTTCTAATGGTAAAATATGAAGCTTTCCAAAATGTTCTTGTTCTTCTTACCCCTTGAGAAATGTTCTTCCGACATATCTAAGGAATTTTTTAATCTAGGTTTGTCAACCTTAGCACCTGAACAATCCTCTTGCAGACGCAGGGTTTCCACTCGATACCCGGTTCTTGCTTCACGAGAGTATGTGAAGGAATACTTTGGAGCGCCCCCTTCCCACCAAAACATGGTACATAGAATACAACCATCAGCTGTTTTCCATTTATGGATTGACTTTTCTTCTGGATGCTAACACTTTATTTATAGTGACCTATGTAGAAAAAGGATGCTAACAGTTTTTCTGATGGATATATGGTTCCAGTTAGAGCATTTTCCGGACTGGTTAAGAAGAGTGAATCCAAGGAATGCAGAAAAGCACACGTTCCATGATGGATCTGGAGCAGAATGCATTGGAGCTGAAGCTTTTCGCCACATGATGTCTCAGTCTGGAGCTTCCTTGCAACATGTTTCTAAAGAGTAATTATGACCTTACATTTCAGTAATTATTCCAGGAGTTATGTTCGCTTATATCCTAGTATTTGTAGATGTGTTGTTTGGACACATGCTTAAGAAATAAGCTTGTACCATTTTATTGCTTCTTGAAATATGTAGCAAAGTTCATAAACTGGGTAGTTGCTATCGTATTGAACGGATGCATATGGTGTCTATGTTTCCCAAAGAAGGTTATTGGATTTTGCAGCAACTCTATGTCATGTACCTTATCCAATTCTTGTTATGGATTGCTTGTGTTGAGCATCCTTGTGGGGTTAAGAGATTCTTCATTATTCAGTAATATGTTGGCTGATGTTTTGAGCTTTTTCCTGATTATTTTATGTCTTTCACTTAAAATTCACATATATTTACTTGAAGATGTCTCATTACCGAGCATGATAATTGATACATTTTCTCCATTTATCTGTCTAGGTGGATTGCAAATCACTATAAGTGGATTGTTTGGAAACTTGCCTGTTATGAGAGATGCTATCCTTTTAAGTCCTTGGGGAAATTTCTGACTGTATCCAATGTGCTTGAGGAATTAAAGTATAGGTAACTACATTTTCTTGGGGCATATATTTCTCACGAGTTTCTAAGACATGAAAGCTGTTACTGATGCATTTGCATAGATATGAGAGAGAAGCAAATCACGGTCATCGATCTGCAATTAGGAAAATTCTAGAAGGAGATGCACCACCTTCTTCAATGTTGGTGTTATGCATATCATCTATCCATTCAAATTGTGACCAGAAGATTGAAACTCACTCTATTTCAACAAGTGGGGCTGAAAATACTAGAGCTGCAAAAATAGAATTAACTGATGGTTGGTAAGGAATTGTTGACTTTTTACTGCTTATGTTATACCATTGAAGTTTTTGTAGATTGCCAACTTTCTTGTTTCTCAGGTATTCGTTGAGTGCTCTACTGGATGTACTGCTGTCAAATAAGCTGGCTGCTGGGAAACTCTTTGTGGGACAAAAACTTAGGGTACTGCATTGGTTTCCTTGTTTATAATTTCCTTTTCTTGCTTAGATGTCTTGTTAACATTCCTTTATTTAATTTACTATCCTCTGCAGATCTGGGGAGCTGGATTATGTGGCTGGGTTGGGCCTGTTTTACCACTCGAGGTTATTGCCAAATTTAACTGCTTAATGAAGTTGACTTGCGGGTACGTTTATTCTCTTTGTATGGTTTTCTCAAGCCTTTCCTTCTGTGTCAGACATCAGGAACAATTAGTTTATCTTTGCACATTAATGGCACATATAGAGCTCACTGGGCTGACCGTTTGGGATTCTGTAAGCAATTATCTTCTCTTCATTACTGTTTCCTTCATTTTTTTTCTGGCTGCAATATTGTTTCTGGTTCCTCTTCTTGCCTCTTGACTATTGGCCTTCAATTCTGTATATCTAGGTAAGGATGGTGGCGCTCCACTAGCATTTAGGTGCATTAAGGGTATAGGAGGAGCAGTTCCGAGCACTCTTGTTGGAATCACTCGAATATACCCTCTTTTGTACAGGGAAAGGTATTTTGGAGTCAAAACTCTTCAAATGTTTCGAGTGTGAAAGCAACTGTGTTATTTCTTCGTGCAGGTTAAGTAATGGGGGGTTTGTTGTGAGATCAGAAAGGATGGAAGCTAAAATGATACAATTGTATAACCACAGGTAACTCCTATTTTACCATAGCTATCCAATTGTGAATTTCTGAGTCAATTACGTTTACAAAAATCCATTTGTCATGTTTACTCAAATTTACGAATTAGAGTGGCCATTTTGAATGATTTTTCCAGTCCATTATTTTCATGGTTCTTGTTGCAGTTCTGTACAATGTTTATCTTTCTTGTTACTGTAACTTCAAATTTCTTGCTGTTGAAATCATAACTTTCTGATGAACTTACTTACTCGGTGGCCTAGTGAGTATTCAAATTCATTAAGTTGAGGTTATTTGCTGGCGACAATTAAAAAGCTTAGCCCATTCTTAGGTTATGTGATGAAGCCCTGTCATAACACTAGAGAAGATTAAAAAATACAAAATTAATTATGAAGAAAATGTAAAAAAAAAACGATTATGCTCTATACACGCCACTTTTCATTATCTTATTTCCCCCCCCATATTATGCTTCATGTCTTCTGTCATGGCTTAGCTCATGTCCATTTTAGTCTTGATAAATTTTAGGTGTGGCTTGAACTCAAACTAACTATTGAATGTTATAACGTAAATCCATCTGGTTTATTTGGGCTAATTCTTTAGAAATCTGAATCAAACGGCATGATAAGACTAGATTCTACTTGAAATAGTTATTTTCTAATGATAAGAAAGACGAATACCTCTGGGCTAGTAAGCTATGAAGCAGATTCCAAACAGAGACTTTGCCATCCCTGATCCTGTAATATTTGCCCATCAGATCGGCACTTAATCTTTTGCACTAATGTTGAACAGAGTTTAGTTCATTGCTTGTTTTAATGTTGGGTTGAGACCCATGTTGAGTTGGTGCACAACCAGTCTTAAGAGGTGTATATCCGAGGCCTTGATCTGAGACTCAAAATGACAAAGCATATGCATGGATTTTCCGACAATGGTAATAAGGTGTTTATGATGTAGGTTTGGTTGGATCTTTTTTGTGAACCACATGAAGCAAACATATACTCAGCTTAAGACTTACCAGGTTGTAGGAAAGATAAAATGGTTTTGCATGCAAACTGATATGGTTGTAGTTGCTTGTGCACTGTTTTTCCTACTTCCTCATAGGCTTCTTTATGATGCTTAGGTTTGATTATGTGAAACTTAAGGTAATGCTTCATTGCAAAGGTAGAATATCATCGTATTACCCATTACAGTGCTAGGAGGGGTGGATTGGGTACGTATCTTACATTTTGCATTATATGCATGAAGTGGCTCCCCTCTGTATAAAGCCACAATCTCACACTTCTTAGCCTAAGTATAGTCCTATACCCTCTGGTTATCAATTTGTGAATAAGTAGTAATTGTTCAAATTATGTGGGAACATCATGTTACTTGTCTAGGACCTGGTTAATTAATGTAGATAACCGTTCACCTGTGTAGTACTTGACTTTCTTTTTGTGGATGTAGGTGCTCAGTTGTTGCAGAGGGCATTATGGCTGAGTTTCACAGGGATATCAAAGATGTCCATGGTAATAATGACCATGATAGTGAAGAAGGGGCAAAAATCTTAAGGATGCTTGAGACAGCTGCTGAACCAGAAGTTCTGATGGCCGAGATGAGTTCAGAGCAACTAAATTCTTTTGCTACTTATCAAGCAAAACTAGAGGCAGGTTTCAATTTTTTTGTTTCACATATTTTCTAAATCAGTAGTGGGGTTATTAAATGTGGCTGATCATTTTTAGGCACTCAAACAGTCAGATATGCAGAAATCAATTGAGAAAGCTCTCAACGAGGCTGGCTTAAATAGGAGGGAGGTAACCCCATTTGTGAGGATCCGAGTGGATGGTTTAACTAGCAAAAGTCATCCGCAAAAGTGCCCTCCACTTAAAGGCTTAATAACTATCTGGAATCCAACAGAGAAACAGGTGAAATCCTCATGGTTATGGGTGTGACTTTGTATGCCAATGTGATATTTGTGCCTTTTTTTTTTTTGAGTTTCCTGACAAGTTCTTTTGTTGGTTTTCTCATTGCTGTTGCAGCGATCAGAGTTTCTTGAAGGTCAGGCATATGCTATTTCTGGACTTACACCACTAAGTTCCGACTCAGATACCCTTTACTTGCAAGCAAGGGGATCCACGACCAAATGGCGTCCTTTATCTCCCTTGGTGCTTGAACATTTTGAGTATGTTTCTATCTGCTTTTTTCTGTTAATCAAGTTGATTGAATTTAGCTCACAACCATCTGTTTGCAGGCCATTCTTCAGTCCGCGAAAAGCAGTTTCATTATCAAATTTGGGTGATGTTCCTCTCTCCAGGTGTGCCTTTCTCTACAACCTTTGCCCGTTGATGCTTCCACTTCTGAATTTGTGATAGAATTGTGCTCACTCAGTTTGGTTGAACGTGTTTCTACAGTGAATTTGATATTGCTGCATTTGTTGTATACGTGGGAGAGATGTATACAGCTGCTTATCAAAAGAAGCAATGGGTTTTTGTGACAGATGGCTCCATATCTGAGTTGCAATCAAAAGAACCCTACAATTCTTTGCTTGCCATCAGTTTCTGCTCACCATCATGTGATTCATTTGCACCAATCAACTTTAATCTTGCAGGATCAACGGTGAGTGACCCATGGGTGTAAGAGACCTTGCTTTATTGTCAATTACTAACCTTTGTATTTAGAAAGTGATATCTTTGTTGTTGTGCACCCACTCTTTGAAAATAAATAAAAAATGGAGTTTGTGGTTGGAGTCTTAAAATTTTACACATTCTGAAAAACTTGTCTATGCAGGATGTGCCACTGGTTCAGATACTTGCAATGAATCAACTTTCCACCTCTGTTTGGAAAAAGAAGTATAAAGGATGTAATGATGTTTTGACAAAGTCATATTCTCCCAAGATTTATTACTTCTGAAAGTTGGATTCTTTTACAAAGAAGTTGGATTTCATACTTGCATTGAAAATGGATTTTCAAATCTGTTTGCTCACATATGACCTCCGGGATCAGAATTTGTTTTACAAACAATCCTATTTTCAAATGACATGTTCTCTTAACACATTCATATTCCTCCACAAATAGATAAATGAATGAGACAAGTCATATTACTTTTGACGGATCACCTTTATGAAACTTGTTTGTAGGTTTGCTTTTGTGATCTCATCAAAAGGGCGAAGGACCAAACGAATAATCTCTGGGTGGCAGAAGCAACAGAAAATTCGACCTATTTTATAAGTTATGATCATGAAAAGTGTAGTCATTTAAAGGATGCCTCTTCTTCTGCTCAAAGATGGGCCAAGCTCTCTAGCTCAGTAAGCATTGTTGATGTTTATATGGTGCTGATAGAACTCTTTTGTCGTTGTTGGGAATTTTATGGCCTGTCATTCTTTTTTTGGTTTCATTCAGACCATTGAGATGCTTAGGGGGAAGGTTTTATCTATCATTGATAACTGAAAGGCTGAATGTTCAAGAATCTTATTCTGACAGACTGACAAGTAAGTTTTTTTGCACTCATATTACCAAGGATATAAATATATATATTTATCCCATTTTTCGTTGGCAAGGAGTCTTCTTGTGTCTTACTGTGGTCCAACTTATACTGTCATGATTTTTATTTTTAGCTTTCCCTTTTGTTTCAGTTTCAGATTCTTCCTTTTTCTTGAGGAGATTTATTTCAATTATTGACACAAATGTGCTGCTAAAATCAAGAAAGAATTAATTGGTTGGTGCAGCAGCTATACTTCGTTTTTTTTTTTTTTTGGTAGTTTTCTTTGACCAGAAAGTCGATTTGCTGGAGACATTCTCTGTTTAGGTCCTGGTTATCTAGCTAGATTTGTCAATCTGACAAGTAATGTATATTTGTCTAATAAATGTTAAACAGATAAGCTGCTAATATATTACAAACTATAATGCCTATGAGTCCAAAATTTGTTTTTCTTTGTAATAAATATAGTTTCACATGCAGTGTGGTAACCTGGTGGGTATCGTGAGCATGCCAGACAGAATTTGATCTTCCTGTACAAAACCAGTTCCTGGTTGATGGTTCGGCCTCGTTTTGCACTTGACTAATGGTCAAGACCCTGTTTGCAAGGCACTTGGATATTTGACTGCCCATGACAAATTTTTCAGGCCAAGTTCTCAGATCATTTCCAGCATATTGACTGGAGCTGATGTTCTCATGGCGGAGTCCAGGCATAATGCGTTCTTCATGACACTGTCGCATGAACCTGAGGAGCCAAAAACTCAAGGAGCAAACTGTGTCTTGAGTTCAAGATGGGCATAGCAAGTTAGTTTGCATTGCATTGCTTTGTACTATATTTCATTATTTTGTGTACAGGCCTTTAAAAAAAATTTTTTTTTTTGGCTGACGGAAGGGTGAGGGGCACCAAATATAATCTTAAGACTGACAAGGCTTGGGTTCTTTCCCCCCTTCAAGTCATCCCAACTGTTGTAGAAGTACGCAAAACAACCATAATTGAGAGATTTCCACAATGTTCATGAAGTAAAATTCTAGTGAACTGTTTATTGCAAATTACTTACATTGCATCATCAATTGAATCTTGATCATAGGAGAATATCAATTTCTTTGTCACTTGATCTTATTACATACTATAAATGCACTTCAATTTGGGTCCAAGTTATATTATTATGAATATTGAATATTGAAAAAAAAAAAAGTTATATTATTATGATAAATAGTGGTGTGCAAAATTTTGCGTACCCAAACTATTTTAGCTCTACTCGACCTCATTATTTAAATTTTGCAAATTTTTGGCCAGTTTAACGAACAAATTATGGTACTTCATAAATGATCGGGTAGGAATGTGGAATAGTTATAAAAAATTTGTGTTTTTACTCGACTTATATATATATATATATATATATATATATTTATTTATTTATTTATAAAAAATATGTTTGCTATTGGATTTATTGTGTTTTTTTAGTGTTATTAGTTTAATGTATTGATTTACATATTATTATATTATATTTTAACAGTCTAATTATAAAAGTAGCCCAAAAATTATTTAATTGAATTGTTAAAATTATTTAAAAATTAATAATTAAAAAATCACAATTATGTGATATATTTTGCAATCCTACTTGAATTTCAAGCCGATTTTTTTGGAAAGAATTCGGTTGGTGAAATACACTTGAGTCCTTTTATGTATATCTCAAAAAAATTAATTATAAGGAAAAAAAATCCAAACTATGGTTGTAAATCATCTTATTCTTTTCTTTCTTCCCCCCCCGTGTGTGGTGTGGGGGTACTCACTTAATGACTCCTATCTGAGCTCAAGTAGTAATATTGCATTAGGAATTGTTGTTTATAATATATGCAACTCAAGGTAACAAAGATCTTACCATCGAATTTCTAAATCAAACAAGAAAATATCTAAAATTCTTGATTTTGGGATGTTAGACCAAAATAATTTTTTAAGCGTAAAAATTGAGTTTTTGGTCAACTTTGAGCTTAAATTAAAGTGGGATTTGATTATTATTTTGAATAAAAATTCGTGGGTTCATATTCTACTCTGTAAGGAGAATAATGTAGTATATTCACTTGTTCAAATCGATTAAGAAATGAATAAGAAAATAGGCTCCAAAGTGACCTTCTTGAAATGTGAAAATAAAGAAAGTGCAATGTAAGATGTGACACCAATCTCACATTAGTTGAGGAAGAAATTCAACATGGGCATATATAGGCTAAGTTTACTCTATGAGATTGGGCTCCAAGCGGTACCACAATTTTATGAGCGGAGTGAGTACCAACATGCCTTCGGTTCAACCACACACGTGCGCACTGCCCGTCTCACCAAGACCAAGCCAGGCTTGGGCTCGGGTACGGATGTGGTTTACATGTAATTGTTTTGTTATATTTTACATTATTTAAATTACAAATTTTAATAAGTGATTTTACTATATTTGGCAACTAAAAACAACAATCTTAAGACATATTTCAAATTTGTATAGTTGCTTATTGTGTTTCTAATATATGTTTTAATTTTTTACATTGTTCTAAAATATTACAATTTGTTAAAACATGTTTTGTTTACAATCTGTGATATTTTGAAAAGACTTGAAAATTTGTGAAACATTGCACATTCTGTTTTTTGTGTATAAATTCAAACAGTTACATTAAACAGTGATGCTGTTTTAAACTGTTACACCAAACAGTGACTTTGTTTCTGTGTATGATTTAAACAGTTACACCAAACAGTGACACTGTCTCTGTTTTAATAACTTGCTTTGGAAAGTGTTACTGTTTTCCTATTTTTGAATATTTTGTAATATTTGTTTATCAGAAATGGCTGCAAATGATAATATTGTTTTTGCTACTATAAATCATGTTGTGTCTGTGGTGCCTATTTTTGTTCCTACTCATGTGTCTCATGGGGAGAAACTTGAAAAGTTCAATGAGAATGATTTTAAGAGATGGTAACAGAAAATGCTATTTTATCTCACTACGTTGAATTTTGTAAAGTTTCTTCGTGAGGATGCTCCTGTTTGTAATGAGAATGAGACTGACCACCAAGTTGTTGCTACGGTAGATGCATGGAAGCATTCTGATTTTCTGTGCAAAAATTATATCCTCAATGGATTGGATAACACATTATATAATGTGTATAGTCCAATCAAGACGGCTAGAGAGCTGTGTGAATCCTTGAATAGAAAATACAAGACGGAGGATGTCGGAATGAAGAAATTCGTTGTGGGTAGATTCCTTGATTTTTGACTATTATAAATCAAGTTCAAGATCTTCAAGTGATCCTACATGAGATGGACTCAGAAGGTATGATGCTTAGTAAATCTTTTCAAGTGGCTGCAATTATTGAAAAATTACCGCTAAATTGGAATGACTTCAAAAATTATTTGAAGCACAAACGCAAAGAAATGAAACTTGAAGACTTAATCGTGAGATTGAGGATTGAGGAGGACAATAGAGTCTTCGAAAAGAAATTTGACAATCATTCTATGAAGTTAAAAACACATGTGATTGAAGAGGAATATAAAATCAATAAGAAAAAGGAAGTATGTTAATCAGCAAAGGGGTAAGGGTAGTGATTCCAAAAGGTTCAAAGGCAATTTATTTGTGTGTAATAAACTGGGGCATCGTGCAAAGGATTGTCGAAGCCGTAAAGGACAAGGGAACCACAAGAGGAAGACTGCCCAAACCAATATAACTGAGGTATAAAAACTTTCTGAAAATATTTTTAACATAAGTTTTTCTGTTGTAGTATCTAAAGGGAACTTGGTGGGAAATATTAAGGAATGGTGGGTGGACACCGGGGCCACTAGACACATATGTTCGGATAAGAAGATATTCTCTTCATATGAAGCAATGAATGATGAAGAACAACTCTTTATGAAAAATTCCTCCACTTCCAAAGTTGAAGGCAAATGAAAAGTTATATTGAAGATGACTTCCGAAAAATAACTTACTCTCAATGATGTGTTAAATGTTTCAGAAATTTGAAAGAATCTTGTGTCTGGATCATTATTGAGTAAGAAAGGTTTTAGGTTGGTTTTTGAATCTGACAAATTTGTACTCACTAAGAGTGAAATTTATGTAGGTAAGGGATATATGAGCGATGGACTCTTTAAGATGAATGTAATGACAATTATATCAAATTTTAATAATAATAACACATCTTCTGCTTATATGCTTGAGTCTTCTAATGTATGACATGGTAGATTAGGACATTTTAATTTTGATACTATACATAAATTAATGAATTTAGAATTGTTGCCTAAATTCAATATTGATGCAAATCATAAATGTGAGGCATGTGTTAAATCAAAATTAACTAGAGCATCATTTCATAATATTGAAAGAAGTACTGAACCTCTAGAGTTAATTCATATTGATACATGTGATTTGAAATATGTTCAAACTAGACGTGAAAAGAAATATTTTGTTACATTTATTGATGATTGCACAAGATATTGTTATGTATATTTGCTAAGGAGTAAATATGAAGCATTAAAAAAATTTATGCATTATAAGAATGATGTTAAAAATCAACTTGGCAAAAGGATTAAGACAATAAAAAGTGATCGAGGTGATGAATATGACGCACCTTTTGATCGATTCTGTCAAGAACATGGTATTATTCACCAAACTTCTGCGCTTTATACACCTCAACAAAATGAAAATGCTGAACATAAAAATAGAACTTTAAAAGAGATGATGAATGTCATGTTGATTAGTTCGGGATTACCTCAGAACTTGTGGAGGGAAGCTTTGCTTTCAGCAAATTATATTTTAAATTGACTACCCTACAAGAAGTTAGACAAAATTTCTTATGAATTATGGAAATTAAGGAGTTCTTCTTACAAATATTTAAAATTGTGGGGGTGTTTGGCTAAAATGATGATTCTTATTCCCAAAGAATTAAAATAAGACCTAAAACGATTGATTGTATATTTATTGGTTATGCAATAAATAACAGTGCATATCATTTTCTCGTGCATAAATCTGATATTCCTGATATACATGTCAATACAATTATTAAGTCAAGAAATACATCATTTTTTGAAAATATATTTTCTAGTAAAAATGAATGTGATGTGAGTTCTCTTAAAAGAACTCATGATACTACGACTAGTAATATAGATCATGAGTCTATAGATAAAGAAAGTGAAGAAGCACTTAGATGTAGTACGAGGGCAAGGACTTCCAAGTCCTATGGTTTAGATTTTCTAACATATTTGTTAGAAAATGAGCGTCAAAGTNATTTGTACTCACTAAGAGTGAAATTTATGTAGGTAAGGGATATATGAGCGATGGACTCTTTAAGATGAATGTAATGACAATTATATCAAATTTTAATAATAATAACACATCTTCTGCTTATATGCTTGAGTCTTCTNCAAGTCCTATGGTTTAGATTTTCTAACATATTTGTTAGAAAATGAGCGTCAAAGTTTTAATGAAGCGATGTCCACTCCTGAAGCACCTATGTGGAAAGAAGCTGTAAACAGTGAAATTGAATCCATCATGCAAAATCACACCTGAGAGTTGGTAGATCTTCCATCAGGGGAGTAAACCATTGGGGTGTAAATGGATTTTCAAGAGAAAAATGAAAAGTGATGGATCAATTAATAAGTACAAGGCTAGACTTGTAGCTAAAGGTTACAAACAAAAAAGAAGGTTTTGATTACTTTGATATATATTCTCCCGTAACGAGAATAACATCTATTCATATGCTCATAACTATTGCAGCATTGCATAATCTTGAGATACACCAAATGGATGTGAAATCAGCTTTCCTAAATGATGACTTAAATGAGGAAATTTATATGGACTAACCCAAAGGGTTTGTTTCTCTGGGACAAGAGAAGAAAGTGTGTAGACTTGTTAAATCACTTTATGATTTAAAGCAAACACCAAAACAATGACATGAGAAATTTGATAAGGTAATGATGTCAAATGGTTTCATAATTAATGAATATGATAAATGTATTTATGTTAAAGACACAAATAATTGATATGTCATTGNATTTGTACTCACTAAGAGTGAAATTTATGTAGGTAAGGGATATATGAGCGATGGACTGTTTAAGATGAATGTAATGACAATTATATCAAATTTTAATAATAATAACACATCTTCTGCTTATATGCTTGAGTCTTCTAATGTATGACATGGTAGATTAGGACATTTTAATTTTGATACTATACATAAATTAATGAATTTAGAATTGTTGCCTAAATTCAATATTGATGCAAATCATAAATGTGAGGCATGTGTTAAATCAAAATTAACTAGAGCATCATTTCATAATATTGAAAGAAGTACTGAACCTCTAGAGTTAATTCATATTGATACATGTGATTTGAAATATGTTCAAACTAGACGTGAAAAGAAATATTTTGTTACATTTATTGATGATTGCACAAGATATTGTTATGTATATTTGCTAAGGAGTAAATATGAAGCATTAAAAAAATTTATGCATTATAAGAATGATGTTAAAAATCAACTTGGCAAAAGGATTAAGACAATAAAAAGTGATCGAGGTGATGAATATGACGCACCTTTTGATCGATTCTGTCAAGAACATGGTATTATTCACCAAACTTCTGCGCTTTATACACCTCAACAAAATGAAAATGCTGAACATAAAAATAGAACTTTAAAAGAGATGATGAATGTCATGTTGATTAGTTCGGGATTACCTCAGAACTTGTGGAGGGAAGCTTTGCTTTCAGCAAATTATATTTTAAATTGACTACCCTACAAGAAGTTAGACAAAATTTCTTATGAATTATGGAAATTAAGGAGTTCTTCTTACAAATATTTAAAATTGTGGGGGTGTTTGGCTAAAATGATGATTCTTATTCCCAAAGAATTAAAATAAGACCTAAAACGATTGATTGTATATTTATTGGTTATGCAATAAATAACAGTGCATATCATTTTCTCGTGCATAAATCTGATATTCCTGATATACATGTCAATACAATTATTAAGTCAAGAAATACATCATTTTTTGAAAATATATTTTCTAGTAAAAATGAATGTGATGTGAGTTCTCTTAAAAGAACTCATGATACTACGACTAGTAATATAGATCATGAGTCTATAGATAAAGAAAGTGAAGAAGCACTTAGATGTAGTACGAGGGCAAGGACTTCCAAGTCCTATGGTTTAGATTTTCTAACATATTTGTTAGAAAATGAGCGTCAAAGTTTTAATGAAGCGATGTCCACTCCTGAAGCACCTATGTGGAAAGAAGCTGTAAACAGTGAAATTGAATCCATCATGCAAAATCACACCTGAGAGTTGGTAGATCTTCCATCAGGGGAGTAAACCATTGGGGTGTAAATGGATTTTCAAGAGAAAAATGAAAAGTGATGGATCAATTAATAAGTACAAGGCTAGACTTGTAGCTAAAGGTTACAAACAAAAAAGAAGGTTTTGATTACTTTGATATATATTCTCCCGTAACGAGAATAACATCTATTCATATGCTCATAACTATTGCAGCATTGCATAATCTTGAGATACACCAAATGGATGTGAAATCAGCTTTCCTAAATGATGACTTAAATGAGGAAATTTATATGGACTAACCCAAAGGGTTTGTTTCTCTGGGACAAGAGAAGAAAGTGTGTAGACTTGTTAAATCACTTTATGATTTAAAGCAAACACCAAAACAATGACATGAGAAATTTGATAAGGTAATGATGTCAAATGGTTTCATAATTAATGAATATGATAAATGTATTTATGTTAAAGACACAAATAATTGATATGTCATTGTTTGCCTATATGTGGATGATATGCTTATTTTATGTAGTAATAATAATATTATTACAACTACCAAGAAAATGTTGTCCAGTAAGTTTGACATAAAGGATTTGGGTGTTGTAGATGTTATACTAGGAATTAAAATTTCTAGAATAGCTAGTGGACTTGTATTATCTCAAACAAATTACATTGAAAAAATACTTGAAAAGTTCGACAAAAATGAAAGCGGCATTGCTAGAACACTAGTTGATATAAATCTTCATTTGTCTAAAAATACTGGCTAAAACATATCACAATTGGAATACTCTCGTATTATTGAAAATCTAATGTATGTTATGAACTGCACTAGACCAGATATAACAATACTCAGTTAGTAAATTGAGTAAGTATACAAGAAAACCGGGAGTAGACCATTGAAAGACAATTATCAGGATTCTTAGATACTTAAGATATACCTTGAAGTTTGGATTGCACTACACAAGATATCCAGCTATACTTGAAGGGCATAGTGATGAAAACTGGATATCTGATATGAAGGATACAAATTCACAAGTGGTTTTATTTTTACACTTGGTGGTGCAGCTGTATCTTGGAAATCCTCTAAGCAAATGTGTATTGCCAGATCCACCATGAAATCTGAATTTATTGCTTTAGATAAAGCAGGAAAGGAAGCTGAGCGGCTTTGCCATTTCTAAAGGATATTCTAATATGACCTAAACCTGTGCTAGTAATTTGTATACATTACGATATCCAATCTGTAATTGGTAGGGTACAAAGTGACATGTATAATGGTAAGTTTAGATATATACGTTGTAGACATAATACTATTAGACAATTACACTCAAATGTGATTATTTCTATTGATTATATAAAGTCAAAGGATAATCTAACGGATCCGCTTACTAAAGGTTTGACGAGGTAAATTGCACATCGAGGGAAATGAGCTTAAAACCTATGACACAAGAGTCACCTTAATGACAACCAAACCTAATTGACTGGAGATCCCAAGATCTAAGTTCAAAGGGACAACCAAATTATGCGTGATTCAAAAGAAGCACTAGGGAGATAATCTCTTTTACCTATTCATATGATAAACTAGTGCTGTCTGCAGAGTTTATTAGGGTAAGCTATGCTTTTAATGATTTTTATACTTTGGTAAATCCAAGTGGGATATTACAGGATAATCCTAATTGGAGTCACCAATATGGGTGTGAAGGGGCCGCTTTTATGAGAATTTGTAAAGGCTGAAGTCTCTAAAGTACTCATTAAAACCAGGAGTTGTTCAGGGCCAAAATGAATACAATTATGAGAATCAATTGTGTTAGGAAAGAGACTGTGTGAAGCCTACTCAATCTGATTTATCAAACAGTTGGATAGTTCAAGACATTATGTTCACTATTTAACCGATAAGTCTGATGGACTTTCACTTGGGAAGGTTCAAGGCCAAAAGCTACCTATCTCGATGCACCATCTTTCCAAAGATGTACTCTCTATAGTGTGTCAGCATTATCATTTGCATACTAACAACCAATTTCCATTTATGTGAGGGATTATTGGATCAAAACAGTTTTTTAAGTGTAAAAATTGAGTTTTTGGTCAACTTTGAGTCTAAATTAAAGTGAGACTCGATTGTTATTTTGAATAAAAATTCGTGGGTTCATATTCTACTCCGTGAAGAGAATAATGTAGTATATTAACTTGCTCAAATCGAGTAAGAAATAAATAAGAAAATAGGTTTCAAATTGACTCTCTTGAAATGTGAAAATAAAGGAAGTGCAACGTGGGATGTGACACCCACCCCACATTGGTTGAGGAAGAAATTCAACATGAGCATATATAAGCTAAGTTTGCTCTATGAGATTGGGCCCCAAGGGGTACCACAATTTTATGAATGGAGCGAGCACCTACATGCCTTTGGTTCAACCACACATGCGTGTGCGCACCGCCCGCCCGCCTCGCCACGACCACGATCACGACCCGGCCGGGTTTGGGGACGAGGACGAGTATGGTTTAGACCAAACACTATCTTTTTGGAGAAAATTTATTTAATTAATTGGACAAGAATTTCTTCACCCAAAATTAAATTTCTGAACCCGTTGGATTGCATTGGGTCGGGTTTGTTGCCTCTCTTTAGATCGAATTAAATTGTGACTTCATGGAGAACAGTTATCCAAGGTGTCTACTGGCTGTTGTGTCTTGTTATTCTGGGTTGTGTCTTTTAGTTTGGTAATTGTCCGAAAAGTCACCAAGGTGTTTATAAATAACCAGTTCATGCATGCATTCAAATTTTATTTATTTATTTAGTCTGTTTTCGACATTAAGCAGACATTAGAACATATCACTTTCGACATTAAGACAGTGTATTTAGAGAGTATACAACACGATTTTGGTTTGCTGGACGAGTATATTGGAGTGTTACTTCTGTTCGTGAAAAAATTATTGTATCCTGGGAGGCAGACGCTCGGTTTTCATAAGCACCGTATGTGTGGGCGAAATCTGTCTTAAGGACATAGTGTCAAACACTAACCTTGATCTATCTAAAGTTCAATAACAGTTCATGTTTTACAATCGGGTTAGTATTTTATTGTTTAAACAAACAGTTAAATGTATCTGTTTGCTGTTACTGTTTCGTTACCCTGTTGTAACTCTTTACTATAACTGTTTTGTTATATTTTACATAGTTCAAATCAAAATTGTAATAAATGATTCTACAATATTTGGCAACTAAAAACAGCATGGGACATTATAATCGTTCGTTTGGTAAGGTGAATGAAAAAAATAAAAAATTAGAGTAATACATTTTTTATATTTCAAGGGAGGAATCATTCCTTCTTTTTTGTGTTTTGTGAGAGATACGGAAAGTAAGAATTTTTTTTTTTTGGTGTTTGGTAGAATGGAATAAGTATTTTTTTTTATATTTTTTTTTCAAAAAAATATAAATACATATTTTATTATTATTTTTATATTTTAATATACATAATTAATTTTTCATCTACTTTTCCTCCTAATTTTAGAGATCGATTTTGGTGAGTAAAAAAAAAGCCAATCCATCTATTTTTCTTCCTTACGAAATATGACGTTTTTTCTATTCTTCTAACTTTTCATCTTTCCATTTTCCATTTTTCCATCGTATCAAACAAAATATAAGAGAGAGTGACTCCATCGGGCTAGAGAGAACTTAAGCTTCATACAAATCAGGACCAACTACCTCACCATTCCTGTGCTTGTTAAGAATGCTCGGGCTGAAAATTTAATTCTCTCTCATCCACAGTGATCACAAATCCACCATGTATCTTACATAAATGAATTTCATTTACAAAAATTGGAATAGCAACTCATTCCACACATCAGACACACCAGGCAAGCACCAATGTATACAATCTGAGTAACTCGTAGGGTCTGACAGTTGTTTGGGGCTCAGCGACTCCCAAAACTTGCGATAAATGGAAGGGTGACCATCTTTTCGATACTCTGAGAGCTGAGTAATATTGACAACCGAGACCTTTGAACTCAACCTGCTCAGCACCCTATCTATCATGCGCATTGTAGGCAAGTCGGAACCACTTCCCCAGTATCCTTCATCTTCAATGGGGGTTTTCTCATTATAGCAGTTTCCATCATTCTCGGGCTTCCACTCTTGACTCCTGGTTCATCGAGAAATAAGGAAAGAAAATTTCATGCAGATTCTTAAAAATAAGAGTAATGATAAAACAAGATAAGCAATTAAACAGGACGAGCATCCTTGGTCTTGGCATACTAGACCATCAGCAGTCACATACGTGGCTTTGTTCCAATTTTACTCATTACATTCTGCAAATAATTGGTTGTGCCCTGCTGCTCCCGGAAAGATAGATTTTCCATCAATGAGAAGTAAGCACAAAGATTATATCCTCTGTCGGAAACAGGGAAATTTTTTTCTAGGCGGCTTATAAACAAGATAGAATGCTGAAATTGGTATGGTTCAGGCCTACCTCAATAGACCTGTGTCACAATGGCTGATCTTTTGAGTGAGGGAAGCCAGAGCATTGATCAAGAGAGAGAAAGAAGAGGAACTATAGATCCAGAAAGTCACATTAGCTACACAAGACCAGACACACCTTTTTTTGTTATCATATTTTTTGACTGACTGGATCGGTCAGCCCTCAACCAATTAAGACATTTCTAAACAGTTCCCCTCACCCCTCATCTTGAGATTTAAGCATCCAATCATCATTGTCCAATCTTCTCGAATGTCAAAAAAGTCTCTTTATTTTCAGTCATCAAATGAGATTACTAACATTTATTGCTAGGTGCAGCAGAGACCCTTATAACGATAGAAAGAAAAAAGAACACTTATAAAATTCATGTACAAGGCAATGGTGAACTATATATCTGACATATTTATAAAGATGGTATAAAAAGAACACTAGAGAGAAGGGGCTCATCACTCACGTGAAATGCGTAGGGGACATGGTCACAAAAAAGACCCGCTTCTTGAGGGGGTCGACTTTAGAGGCCACCCAATTTGCCCAGGCATCCATGGCCAACTCCATACCTCCCAGCCCATTTATCTCTTCACAGACCCCATTTTCTTCAGTACTCCATCTGCAAATAATGGGGTTAAATACATTGATTTATTACTTGATTCCCCCAGGAACACTAAAGAATGAGGGATTGAGTCTCACAATAGCTTAACAGGGCCCTGTCTCCACCACAGGTATGAGTTGAATACAAGTATATCAGCATGCTCCCATTGAGATGAATGCCTAAGAACTGAATCAGGACGCATTATTCGTTCCTCCAATCTATGATTGACTGGGTCATCAGAATTAGATTCAACGATAAGTGGGGCCCAGAGAAACTCCACAGTGGCATTATACAACTACTACAACAAAAACATTTATCTAGATTAGAACAAAAATATAGGGATTTAGGATTGATCAAGCTGAAGGTACTCATATTGTATCCTGAAGAATATGCTACGAAACAACCAAATGATTTAAGGCAAACTCCTAAATTTCAAGGGCATGATAATTTGATAAAAAGTTCACACTTCCAACTACTTAAATGGAATTCTGGTTTACCTCTGCTCTAAAAATGGTAAGAGGAGCATTGGGCGACATGGACCTCTTATCTGCTGGAACTACAGACTGTAGAAGACACACCATTGATATCCATTGTCCTCTATTCAGTGAATCTCCAACAAACATTAGTCTTTTCCCTCTCAACTTCTCCCACATCTCAGTCACATTCCATCTATAAATCAACAAAAACAAGTCAAGAAAATCAACAAAAAGCTACCCTGTTTGCGATAAAAACACCATTATTTGCACAATAGTAGCAGCTAAATTCACCAAAGGCACAATGGTCAATATGAACTCAAAAAGAAGTACAACTAAACACTCGAAGAACACAGACCACACGAATTATAATTACTCTGCAGAACAGAAACAGAGTACCTTTTCAAATTGCAATTGTGGGGTTGCCACCTCCAGAATTGGTATCCCAAATCCGGCCTTCCATGCTTGTGACAAGCCAATTGATCCGACATGTATGGACAATCCGATTCATTATATAGTGGATGGGAAGTGTTGTCGAAGACCCACTTGCCTGAAAACAAGTCACACGTCTCCAGACTTGCTCTCCGGTTATCGGACTCCGGCACAGGGACATCCCACTCAGCTCTCCGTCCACTGTACTCTACTGTGGATTTGCATGTACTATACCTATCCAAAACCACTACAATCCGCAAAGAAAAACACCCAAATAAAACCATCCGATCAAATAAAGAAACACAAAATTATACACACATTCACTCAATTTACAAGAAGTGAAAACGAACTATACACACACGCACACACACACACACACATATTTAAGAGGAAAAACTACATATTCAGAGACCCATAAAAGTACTTTTTCTGAGACAAAAGCCATGAAATTAAAGAGACCCATACATTCAATTACAAGAAAAAGGGCAAAACACTTCCATGGACTCATGTAAACCCCTATAGACCAGACTGGATAACCTATAAAGCTATAAACACTGTTTAACATGGGAGATATTGATAATTTTGGGGATAAAAAGACTAACCTGGAGATCTGTTTGGGTGGGTATTATTCTGCGGAGGTGAAAGCTTGTACAGAGGAATTTGCTTGATTATAGGTTGATGATGACCATCATCATTGTGAGCTTGGTCTTGATGGATTTGTTGTATGTTACGTTCATTATAGAGGATTGTAGAGACTATGAACACAAAGAAGATCAGTGCTATGAGAGGGACCTGGGTTTTCTTCTTGTGACATCTCTGCATCATTCCACGGAGGGAGAGAGAGAGAGAGAGAGGGGGGGGGGGGGGGGATGTCTGTTGACTGTAATTAAACTAATTAAGGATGTTTCGATTATTACAAAGATATTGGACAGCCGACAAGCAGCTTCCTTCTGCAATATATTACTATGAGTGCTGTGAATTTCATTGATGGAATGCATCGCGCCTTATCAAATATGATGTACCTGCGATGCTAGAGGAAAGTTTGTTGGTTATCATGGTCAACGGTCAACGCATATTGCTCAGGTATGACTGATCCTCATGCGACTACTATCAACCAAATGACAATAATAGGGGATAAGTCGATAAACGACACAATAATGTTATTTTAATTAAATTTGTAGTCTAAATGACATCACAGTCGATTTGATTTTTTTTTTTTTTTAGTGTCATGTCATTTGAACTCTAATAAAAACTCTAAATAATATACTGTCATGTTATTTGAGTATTAAATTTGATCAATGTAGCATTATTGTAAATAATTACATTGGGTGGTACAATGAAAAATTTATTGTCCTTATAAATATCTTAATTTTACCATAGATGATCTGTCTTCGATCAAACCAAAAAATAAATAATCGAGATGCACATATATTGACATAAATATTTCTGAGTGTTGAATAAAAAACAATAACAATAAGCAAGAACAATAAATTATATCCTAATATTATACTTGTGGTCTAGATAATGGTAAGAAGATCACGTGGTTATTCTTTTAATTTACTATTTATAAAATGATTACCATTTTCCTTTTTCTTTTTTTTTTTTTGTTACTAGAGGGCATGAGCACTTTTAGTCAAGCCATTGATCAAATTCTCAGTTTTCTCCTGCAATGCTAAGTAATTGACTGTGTATTACTGAAACAATTCATTTATTTGCATATGCGATTAATGATCAATCAAGTATTAAAGAGATTAAATATTGGGCAATATAATAATTTGTTATAATTTCCGAGCAGTAGTTCAAGTAATAACATCATAAACAATCTAACATTAAATGAAAATGATAAAACAAAGGAAATCCAATTTCTTATGGCACTACAAACTTGGAATCACTCATAAATATAAATCACTATGATTATTTTTTACCAAAAACATGGAAAAGCTCATGATACAAATAATTTATGATAATTATATATGGGAACAATGTCTCATTGCCCATATGTGGAATAAAATGACTTACCCTTTATAGATACAAAAATATATACTGCTATGGACTTGGCTACGGCACGATTCCTCTAATTTTTATTATTTTAATGGCTGTTTTTATAAATTTTGTGAATTATTTTATAATAATTTTTTTTTTATTATTGTTGTGGGTGATTTACAAGATTTGTGAGTGTTTAATGAGAATCTCCAAGGTAGGACTAGTTTAGACCCATTCTTGAAATTGTAAACCCTAGATATTTGCAGTCACCTGAATCACAAGTATGAGATAAGTTTGAGGGACATCACGCTGACGTCTAAGTTTACGGTTCATCTGAGTTCAACTCTACACCGCTACAATCCTGTCTTAACTATCGTAGCTATAGATAGTTGCAGCCTGCAGGACAAGATCAATTGGGGAACACCTTATAAAATCAGAAAAACTAGCCAAGATTGTATTACAGGACTGACAGTGAGGTCCAACCTAAAAGTTATGAGCTTAAATACCAAGTTTAGCCTTTCTTTCATAAGAAGAAAATTAATTTTACATGCTTACATGAATCATATGTACAGTTTTCTTTTGAATTTATTCGATACCCGCTATGTAGCTGTAAAGGATTTCATTCCAGACGTCTGGCACTCCTGGTAGGCACCAATGTGTACAATCGGCGTAACTCGAGGGGTTTGATTTTTGCTCTTCTATTAGAGGCACCCATTGCTTTCTGTAGATAGATGGGTGACCATCTTTTCGGTACTCTGATAGCTGTGTTATATTATGCATTTTCTTTTCTAACCTCTTGTTTTCAATTCATCAATCGCTGTCTCAACTTTCTGCATCATTCTTGCATCTGATCCTCTACCCCAATATCCTTCTTTTGAGATTGGATTTGTTTCGTTGTAGCAACTCTGACCCTTTTCCATGCCCCAATCTTCACCGCTGTGATGCCCAACACACTGATATGGCAATCAGAACGAACTAAAGCTCAGAGTAGAGCATCAGTAACCATACAACGGATGAGCTGGGGACATGCTCATGAGAAACAACTGTGTCTTTTTGCGGTTGACATGGATATCCAACCAATCTGACCATGTTTGTCTAAGTCTTTGTAGATCCCAGTATCAGGGCTTTCAAATGATCCCCACCTGATCATAATCACGTACAAATAATCTATTATCACATTATAAACTTTGTCTGCTCCTAAAATCTAGTTCAACCAATATGCTACTTATTTTATTCAGGGAACGCACTCACAGAATTTTCAATTTCGGCCTTGTCCACCAAGTGTAGGAATCAAAGACGAGCATATCTGCATCGGTCCAATGCCTAGCATGCTTTTCAATTGCCTGGACCCTGCCAACTCGTACTGGTGATCCATGCGTAGGGCTCGCCATGTTATGAGAATTAGATTCCACTAGGAATGGGGACCAATAGAAATCAATAGTGGCATTGTGTTCCTTCATGCATTAACTAACAATTAGCCACTGCAGTGACAGTTAACACATGATACAGAGACCACGTTGTAGAGTGACAGAAAACGCCATCCGAAGCAAGCAGGGGCGGAGCCAAAAATTTTGTTCAAGGTGGACACTTTATTACGTACTTTAATTTTTTTTCTTTTTAACCAATTACACTATATAATATATTTATTTTTATTATATCACATTTGATACATGAAGTCCATTTAACATAAAAAAAAAAGCCAAAAATAATGCATATTATATATGTACAAAAATGACTAATTATCACCATTGTAAAAAATGGAACTGGTTATCATTTTTGTAATTAAAAAATATCAGTTATTTACTAACAATCTATTAAATTTATTAAATAAATGATGTTTCAAACACACTGAGATATTAACTAGTAAAACTATTTAGTTAAAATGTAAGTGTTAAACGTAGTAAAAAAATTTTAAAATCGATTGACACATAAAAAGGATTATAATCAATACTCGAATAAAAATAGAGACGATTTCTCATTAAAAAAAAGTTAAATGAAGGTCAATTGCAGGAATTTTCACTTGTAAAAATTTATAAATAATAAAATTAAGGTCATCTGGAGAAAACTTTAATAAAATAAAAAATTTACCTCATTGCTCTATTTGCCTATAAAGTACTGCTTAGTGTTATCTATATAACTACAAGTATTGTAAAAAAATCTAAAAAATTGAGAAGGTATGATACATCATGATCAACTGAAAATTCAATTGGTTAAAAAATTGGATCGATATCAAATTTTAATAATTTGGGATCCATCCCAAATTTTGGGGATCAATCCTGACTCAATTTCATTGAGTCGCAATTCGATCTATTTTAGTCGCAACTTAACATGATTAAGTTTTAATTTTTTGTACGATACTCAAATTTCAACAATATAGGCCTAGAATTTTTTTTGTTTTATGTGGGCTTGGTTTTTAAAATTTTTTTGGGTAGAGGTAGTGGATCTAACATTTTTGTCTTTGGTTTTAGGTGGACACAAGTGATATATTTATACAAATATATAATATATATGGTTAGGTAATAAAATTTTTTTTGAGAGGGGGGGGGGGGGG